AATGCTCGTCCACTCAATAATGTATATGGCTCGTACGACCCAGGGAAGATCCATCCCATATATATATATATATACATCTCTGATAGTAGTCACTCAGTACTGAGGAAGGCCAATCCAGCCTATGGAGAAGATCTATCTCCTGGTAATAATAATGATAACCTCACAACCACTCGGTACCGTATATGGCTCACAAGGCCCAGGAAAGATCCATCCCGGAATATATATATACATCACAGACTATGATGGGTTTTCAATGTCTTGGCCTTATGTTTCTTATGTTTTGATGATCTAACAAACTTGTCGTGAAGAACCAGATAGAGAACCTGGCCCACAGGGTATACATTTCATGTGACCTGGTTGAAGTCTGAAAATTACCAAATGGATGAACGACCATAGGGAGGAACATAATAGGGACCTGGTGACCTGGTCCCTTAGGGTTCTCCGACACAAGCACAAGTTAGTGACTATACGAAATCAATATAAAGGGAAACACAACAGGGACATGCTCTCTTTTGCGTTCTCTGACAGAAGTACAAGTCAAATACACAGCTGGAACGTAGCAGAAGAAAGTAACCATCTAGCAACTGTCACAGAAGAGGAACACAACTAGGACCTGGTCCGTTGGTGTGTCTTGATAGAAGTACAGAGTCCACTATCCAGTTGGAACGCAACTACCCAGAAGTGGCTGTGCAGACAGTACATCAGTCACTTCTCATTGGGAAGAAGCGTACATCAAGAGTTGACATCACTATCCATTATGCTAACTTTTGTGATAAAACAACCTAGTGCGAGACACACCATTCTTTGTGCATTTAGTGATATTCTCTCAAGAAACAAAAGTATTCATCCGGCATTGAAGTCACTGGTGTGTCAAGAACATGAAGACAACTCCACTAAGGATCAGTTTCTTAATGAGTTTATGTACATCAGTAGTTGAGTTGTAATCTTGTTATTTCTTCGTCATTGTAATTCCTAGTTTGGTTTTTTAGAAGCGTTGTCTTAGGAACAAACCAAAATTTGTAAACTTCTGAGTTTATGTTATGACTAGGGATAGTCATAAGTTTAAAGTCTTTGTAACTAGGATAGTTATAGAGTGGCTTGTGGTGGTTGCATCACAAGTTAGTTTGAAGCCTTTGAAATAGGGCTTTTGCAAAGTGGTTTGTAATAGGGAGATTGCAAGTTAGTAGAGTTAAAAGCCTACAAGAGTAGGTCGTGGTTTTTTTATCCCTTTATGTGGGATTTTTCCACGTAGAAAATCTCTTGCCTTCTTTACTTTCAATCTTTACTGCATTCTAAGCATCATCTCATAGAGGACCAGGTACTCTATAGTTTGGTGGACTCATATAAACTAACAGACTATTAGTCTCCAGTACCGAGGAACAGGCCAATCCAGCCTCGTGGAGAAAATCCATCTCCATACCAATACTTCGGACAAGATCCATGTCCAGGGAAGATCCATCCCTCAATATCATCAACTGCGCTCACTTGGGGTGTAAAGACTCCGGAGGGGCTTCTCTGAGTCCAAGCGCTATATCAATGCCAACGAAGGCATGATCAACATCTCGCTGCGGCGTTCAGCCCGATCCCATATTGTCAATCAACATCAGGCTCTCGGCCTCACTCAATCAATACTCTCTAGTCTCACACACACAGGCAAAAAAAGTCATGATACAAGCCCGAACAATGATATGATATGTCAAATAGCAGTAATCGAGACTGACGCATAATGTAATATGCATGAACAGGACTAAGTATAGAATATAAATGAAGCTAATGACATGATAGCAAGAAACGGCCTCTCGGGTCTCAACAGTGTTGGCGTGAAGCCTTAACATAATAATTAGCATGATTTGCAACTCATTAACTTAACCACATAATTATAACACAGATATCAGCATAAAAGAGTCACTAAGCGGCGCCATGGAATGATCCAAGCTGCATTTATCACGGTGCACGCCCACACGCCCGTCACTTGGCATAACGTCACCTCAATAGTAATCGTAGAACACACAGTTCGGGGTTTCGAACCCTCAGAACCAAGTTTGGAAGCATTACTTACCTCAAGCCAAACCAAACTCTAGCCCGGCCTTTGCCTCTCAATTCGGCCTCCAAATGCCCTGAATCTAACCAAAATCAGTACACAACCATCAATATACGCTAAAGGAGTAAAACTCATACGAAAATTATCAATTTAACTCAAAATTCCCAAAATTGGCCAAACCCGACTCCCGAGTCCATGTCTCGGATTCCGATAAAATTTCTAAAACTAGAATCCTTACACTATCACGAGTTCATACATATCAAATACACCAAAATCCGACCACAAACAACCCCTCACATCCCTAATCAAAGTCTCCAATACCAAGCCCTAATCTCCCAACTTTCTTCCCTAATTTTCCACTAATACCATGACTAAACAATGGATAAATGGCCATAATAAGGCTTAAGAAGCTTACCCAACTGAAACCCTTCGATTTCCTTGAAAAATCACAACCCTAGCTCTCTTCCCGTCTTCAAAAATGGTGAAACTTAGCAAAATATTGCGAAGGCATCTATTATATGTTCTGCCCAGCGATACCGCACCTACGGTCCATTTCCCGCACCTGCGGGACTGCTTCTGCGACTATCCAACCGCTTTTACGGTTTTTCATTTAATTTCCCTTACCGCACCTGCGAAACAATCTCCGTGTATGCGAGCTCGAAGGTGCGACATACCTTCCGCATCTGCGGTGCTCGTCCAAATAGTTGACCTTTGCTTCTGCAGCTCGCACCTGCGGTCTCCAAATCCACAGGTGCGGTCATGACAGAAAACTCAGCAACTAAAGCTGCTCCAACAAATTTCCAACCTTCCCGTTAACCATCTGAAATCATCCCAATGTCCCCGGGGCTTCAACCAATAGTGCGAACAAGTCATATGACACTATTCAAACTTGTACCAATCCTCAGAACACTCAACGCCAAAACACCAATTTACCCTCGGATTCAAGCCTAAGGATTCTGAAACTTCCAAATTCCACAAACGATCAAAAAGTCTATTAAACCTCCTCCGAATGATCTGAAATTTTGTGCATATATCACAAATGATAAAACGGACCTACTCCAATTTCCAAAATTCCACTCCGACCACGATATCAAAATTTCACTACCAACCGGAAAGCACCAAAATTTCAATTTCGCCAATTCAATCCTAAACCTACCACTGACCTCCAAATTACATTCCGAACACACTCCTAAGTCCCAAATCACCTCACGAAGCTATTTGAATCATAAAAGCCAAGTTCCAAGATCATTTAATCACAAGTCAACTTCCGGTTGACTTTTTCCAACTTATAATCTACTTAAGAGACTAAGTGTCTCATTTTTTTCTAAAATCATTTCTAACCTGATCTAACCAACCCAACACAACATAAAAGAGCTAAATCACACAAAATGAAGCAGAAATGGGGGGAAATAGGGCTAAAACTCTTGGAACGACCGATCGGGTCGTTACAGAAAATCAGATACTGTGTTAGTTGCTTATGATTTTCACCCCCATTATGATCACAATTAGCAATTTATTTAAGCTTAAGTAAAGATTTGGAATCAACGTGTTTTAGAATAGCTTGTGATTGAGCTTTATTTTCTTTCTTCTTTGCTTTGCAAGCATTTCAACGAGGCTACAAGCTAGTTCATTTTTTCGTAACTAATTTACATTCTGTTTCACAAGTGCTTAGCCATAATCCATGACCTCGCAAGCAATCTTAAACTAGTTTTTTGGGAATAGTAATTTTAAAATGCTAGAAAAAATTTAGATGTACTTTAAAATATCAGCCCATGTGATCAAACCCGAACCTTGGATTGTTATGTTTAAGTAATAAAAGGGTCAAGTGTGCATTCTCGTGTCTCGATGCCTTTAAATTTAAATAATTATATTTTAACCATGTGTACCTTCTATACCTTGGTTTAACATTTAACTTCAAAGAAATACCTTGTGTGCGTATCGCATCTAGGTCCACAAAATTAATAAAATATAATAAATTAAGTGAAGTGGTAATATACAACCATAATCAAAAATACAAGAATAGCTAAAAATTTGATTTAAGCAGGACATTAGTCAATAGAAGAGGCCATGCTAGAACCACGGGACTCGAGGGGTGCCTCACACATTCCCCTCGGTCAACAGAATTTCTTACTCAATCTTCTGTTTTCATAGACCATAAATAAGGAGTGAAATCTTCCGTTTGATGAGGGATTCAAATAAAAAGGTGACTTGAAACACCAAAACTCAATGCCAAGTGGCGACTCTAAATAATAAATAATAAATAATCCCTTTTCAAAACGTCACTTTAATTGGAAAAACTCTCCTAACTCAACCTTGTAATTGGGTTGTGTGGGAAAAAAGAGGTGTGACAGATTATACTGGTTATCTGGTGGATAGGAAAAGCACTTCTGGCATGGCACATTTTCTGGGTTCATGTCTAATTTCATGGGGTACAAGAAAACAAAACTTTGTGGCTCTTTCAGTTGCAAACGCTGAATATGTGGCAGTTGCCTCTTGTTGTGCTCAACTCCTATGGATGAAGCAACATCTAGAAGATTTTGGTGTATTTTCTTATTGTGTACCCTTACTATGTGATAACACTAGTTCTCTTAACATGGCAAAGAATCCATTTCAACATAAGAGAACAAAACATATCGATGTGCGCATCATTTCCTTAGAGACAATGTTGAATAAGAGCTTATTTGCATAAAGTTTTGTAGCACAGAAGATCAAATTATAGATATCTTCCCCAAAGTACTGAGCAGAGAGAACTTGGAAAAGAATCGCTTGGCACTAGGGTTGATAAAGTCAAGCTGAGGACATGGTCCCTCGATGATTGGGTATGAAAGAAATGAACAAGTAAAATAACTAAAAAGTATTTTCTGGCAAAGTCTAACTCATCTCTATACCATTGCAGGTAGACACGCATAACGATTACAGAGCAAACAAGTAGATAATGATATTACACTTTGGTCAAAGGATGGGGCTCGCATTTACAAAATCTGCCAAGAAACCTAGTTCCTTTGACACAGGTTAGTAGTTCCTATGTACTCTCATGCACAAATTTTTAACAGCTAAAATGGTGCCACATCATTAAATGTCAGTTTCTCCTTTTTTCCCATTTTGAACCCAAGTGTCCTACCTGTTATGAAGCAACCCGTCTACCCACAAATTGGTACTCATTCCTAACCGGTCCCTCACCCCTTTTAAATAAATCCAAACACTGTCACTTTCATAACTGTTCACATCACAAGCCAAAATTCCCCTTTTCCTCAACAACCAAATACTTTCTTCTTCCATAAACTCTCACTACACTCCGCCATGTCTGAGAATATTGAAGCAAAAAATGTTCCAAGCGTCGTCCCCACTTTGTATTCATCTATTGAAGCACCAGTGACAGAGTCTACGATCCCTGTGCCACTCAGTCCAAACCCTAAGCAAGATTCCCAACCATCCACTGCCTCTTCTCCAACCCACTCAAGTACTAGTTCTCATCAAAGTTGCAAAACTTTGAGTCCTAAGAGGTTTGTGACTACGACCTCTCCCTATGCCTTTCCAAAAAAATGGCCGAGGGGGAAATAGTAGAGGGAGAAGAAAATTAGGAGGTCTCTAATCTGTCAGTGGAATAAAGTTCTGAGATACAACAAGATGTTTTTCGTAATGGTGATGAATCATCAATGACTACCCTATGCCTTGATTTGAATGTTGTCGATTCTACAGGTAATACTCTTCTTGTGCCTTTTGAGTTTGCTTTGGGATTACAAGAACAAGATTCTATAGAGAATATGTTGTCAATAGTTGCCGAGGGAAGTTGGTTGGTGGTTATAAGGGTGTGTCTGAAACAAATGGGTCTCAGGGGAAAGATAATAGTCTATAGGTAGAGGGTAGGGAACTGGTGCCTATCGATAATTTGGCACCTGAAAGTACTACTAGGGAACCGCATGAGAGACCTGATCCCTCCGCCCAAGAGGATCCCTCTGCTCCTACTTGGACTGAAACCCCATGTTCTCCAAAAGAACCCCAGGTCAGTATTAATCCCGCTCCCACTCCTCATTTCTATGTTGAACCATTGACTATTGTTCCTCCTGAAATGAGATCTCTATCTGAGGAAGAGAATGAAGACAATGAGGAAGACTATGACAATATGGCTCTTGCAAGCTTCATTAGTGTTAGGAGTAGAAAGACACCTCCCAAGGAGCCCACTAATAAAAGGACTACTACTAGGTTGCAAAAGAAGGAGGCTCTTGAATCAGTTCTAAAGAAAAACAAAGAAGAAAAGAAGAAGAGGAGATTGGTGAAGGGTGGAAAGCTTGTGAATGAGGAAGTAGTGCCTCTAGCATTTGTTATTGACATTGATGATGAGGTGAATGAGGAACACGATTCCTTAGTTCGTAAGTCCTCCAAGAAACCTACTGTTCTAAGATCTAGGAAGGAGTCATCTGTGAGTGTGATGGATTTTAGCAATGTTGGGATTGAAGAGTCTGGTGAGAAAGTGACTAAAAAGTCTGGTGAGAAAGAGTCTGATGAGAAGGGGTCTGAGAAATCTGTGTGTGAGAAGGTGTCTGAGAAGTCTACAGACAAAGGGAAAAGTGTGAGAAAGTCAGTGAAAAGGAAGGTTGGCGCCAATAAGGAACCTGGTTCCTCCAAGAAGGCCAAGGTTGGAGTGACCAAAGATGTAGGAAGGAAAAATCTGAGAAATCAGAAGGTGTTGTGGGGCAGAACATTTGCCCCCGATATTCTTGACACGACAGGGATGCGTAACTGGTTGAGATCTGTGAATTTCAACAGTGGACACATTTCTTCACAAATGAGAGTCCCAAAGTGTATGAGGTAGAGGTGCGTATTTTCTATGCTAACTTTTTCACAATAGAGGATGAAAATATCTGCATAAATGTAAATGGTGTTGACTTTGTGATTGATGAGGTTGTATTGGGAACCATTTCTGGAGTGCCTACCGGTGGCATATCCTCCATTGAGGGGACCTGTTCTCAAAACTTCCGAAATGCCATATTGAAGGATAATGCAGTACAGCAAGGGGAACGGGTACACAAGAAGGCCCTCCTTCTAGTGTACATACTTATATTTGAAATGGTGAACAAAGTTCTGCTCCCACATGCAGAGAGACATTCCACTACGTCAAGAGCAGACTTGTTTCTCAGGGAAGCATTGGATGCCTGCACCACTATAAACCTGACTTGTCTCGTGATAGAGCATATGAAGAAGGTGGCAGATTTTATGGATGGTAATCATGGGTTTCCTTATGGGCTCCTACTCACTAAAGTATTTGAATTGTTCAAAGTCCCTTTGAGAAAGACTAAAGTGGGAACTCGCAAGCAATCATTCTCCATGACCAACTTAGAAGAATGTGAGTGCATTGATAAGAGAGAAGGGGTTGGCAGTAATTCTACTATCTCTCAACTGATTGAAGCTCAAAATATTATCACCGAAGAGATAAGGAAGTTGAAGTCAAGGAATGCCATTATCGAAGGTCAGCTTAGTCAGGCCACGAAGGCACCTGGTTCTAGCAGTTCACAAGGCACAAAGGTTGCCCGTCTGACCAAGGAAAACGTTGATCTCCGGAAATAGGTTGAGGACATGAAGGAGAGGTTGCTTAATTAGCAGGTGTCACCAAATGCTCGAATGGACATCCTCTTCAGAACCCTTGCTTCTTCCTTTGCTTCAAATGTTTCCCCTTCCAGTGCTCCTTAAAGTCGTTCCCTTCCCAGTGTCAAGTTCAAAATGTCTATTCTCTGTTTTGGTTTCCTGTGTTTAGATATGTTTTAATGGCTGGTACCTTTTTTTGTTGTTTTATTTTATGGGTGATTATGTAACAACTGGAACTACTCCCTGTTTATTTCCAAAATTAATGAATATCCCGTCCTTTGCTATGAATGCCTTGCTCTTTTGCTCTATTTGCAGTCATGTTTGTGTGCACAGATGTGGCATAAGTTAACTAAGCTAGACTTCTTTTTGCTTATTGCTTGCTACTGATCTTTTTATGATGCCAAAAGGGGAAAAATTAATTGAGGGGGAACAAGTTTAGGGGGAATACAGGAAATAGTATGATATTCTGGTTCTCAAGGGGAACTTCAATTTTAAGTTTGTCATCATCAAAAAGCGAAAAATTGATAGGTTATGCATCCTGTTATGTTTTGATGATCTAACAAACTTAATGTTAAGAACCAGATAAGGAACCTGTATCACATCCTCAAGTAATCAAGAACAACAAGTCTCAAGTATGGGACATGTTTCAACATTTCAGAGTCAAAAAAATAACAGAGGGAATAGATGGACATCAGTTCCCTTACTGACTGTACTAGTCAACCCCCACAGCTATAAAGTTGCTGCAACTATTTTTCTGCACACGCAACAGTGCAAAAATGCAGCAATCACTTTATAGGGAATGCCCTTGTACCAAACATGCTTGCATCATTCAAGTGATGTCACTTATGTAATATTAACATGAAACAAAGGCAAATATCATGCTTGCACATTCCAGAATTCATCAAGCTTTCTCTCAAGTGTGTCGTAATCTTGCAAGTGACTATCAAGGGCATCAAGAACGAAGAACAACATAACAAAGGACCAGTTTCCTACATTGAGTCATCATATGTCCTTAGTTGTGTTGCACCTTTGTTAAAGTGTTTCATTTGTAATTTCTACTTAGCTTAGTTAGAAGCATTGTGTAGGAAACCTTTTGCAAAACCATAAACCTTATGTTTGTGTCTTGGCTAGAGTTAGGCGAGTTGTAAGCTTTGTAATAAAGTATTACAAAGGGGCTTGTGATAGAGTTATTACAAGTTAGTGAGCGATTAAGAGGTTAATTCCTAGGTTACAATAGTTTGTAATCTGAAGTTTGCTCAGTAGTGAAGTTTAAATCCTACGAGGGTAGGTCATGGTTTTTAATCCTATGAGCTGAGAGTTTTCTACGTAAAACTCTATTGTGTTATGTACTTACTATTGTGTTATGTACTTACTATTGTGTGTGTATTTCTGTGGGAACTAATAGAGAACCTGGTTCTCTATATAGTTTGGTGGACCCTTAGTTTCTATCACTAGGAACATCACATGTTATTCTAGTCTACTCTCTTTGGTTACCTGCCATGTAGGTTTTTGTATTTGCAAAGAAAGGAATAGATCTTGGGGTTTGTGAGGTTAGTGGCTCACGTTAGCAGTAGATCTAAAGAAAACTAAAAAAATTAAAAGAAGTCCCCACAGACAGCGCCAAACTGTTTGACCAAAAATATAGATTTTGGTTGAATCGATTAGATTTGTATAAAGAAGGTTTGATCTTAGTTAAAAATAATATCCGAAAGATAAAGCTACCTGTGTCAAGAAAAGACAATTGGTATATTTTATCTTGAGGGCAATGAATACAAGCAATGATAATAATATTCAATGATTCAAAAAGATGGAATACGGCATTAAATAGTAATAAATAGTGCATTAATGGCATTTAAGTAAATAAAATGTATGAGTCACCCGAAAAGGGAGGAGATCAGTGGATATTCTTTCTGACAATGATGAATGATTAAAAAGCCTTTGAATACTTCTTTTTTTTGGTTAGAAAGATAATATTGCATTAAAACAAAATAAGAAAACTACAGAGAGGTCGATGCCTAAGCATCTACGGTAGAGTTAGTTGTGTTTATAGTATTACAAACATTGCTACAACATAAATGAATAGTTTCTTCATTCCCAGCGAGTGCATGTGTGCTTGTGTGTTATTGCGTATCATCAAAAGTGGGTTGGTCCAAGTTCACAGCATGACTCGATGGTTCGTATGTAGATCTTCGATAACAAACTGTTCCTGCCTGATCCATGTCCAAAAATTATTTTACAAAATCTGGTGGCTCTTCAAAAATAGTAAAATTGGTTGCAGCTTCCATGTTGCAGCCTGCTTTTGCCAAGCAATCAGCCACCTCGTTTCTCTCCCTGTAAGTGTGTGCAATTATAACACTAGGCATGTAGTCCAGGAGGTGCCTACATTCAGCGAGTATATTAGTATATGCCATGTTATCCTTTTTGAGTAGTGTTATTACCTCGTATCCATCAACGTTAATTTCCAGCGGAACCAAGTTATGCGTGTGTGCCAATTCCATCCCCTGAAATAGAGCCCTGAGTTATGTATTTATTATGCTTGCCGTGTCCAAATTTTCTGTGAAGCCTATGATTCAGTTTCCATTCTCGTCACGCATTAGCCCTCTTATACCTGTTAATGAGCGTGTGGTGATACTGCTCTATTAGAATTTAATTTGAATGAATTGTGTTTTGGAGGCAGCCACTTGATAGGTATTATTTTGGGTATTTTGGGAGTTACCATGTTGGTGGCTAGGTACGTATATTTCAGAGCTTGTTGAGTAATTAATTTGATGTTTAAATTTTGTGTGCTATTATTAACGTTTCGATTGTTACGCGAAATCCAGATGTTCCACATTGTGAAAGTGATAAAAGTTGTAAAGTTAATATTGTAGGGAATGTTGTTCAGCTTAATGTTCATAAGTTGCCTTAACCATTCCGATGGTGGAGAGGATGTGGTGATGGTTGTGGTAAACCATGTCTGCCCCAAGTATTTCCAGATGTGTGTTATTGGGACAATGGAAGAAAAGGTGCTTGATGTGTTCCTGATTAATGTGACAACTATGGCAAAGGTCATCTAGTGTAATGCATATTCGTTGAAGGTAGTGTTTCATGGGTAGTTTTTGGTGCATGATAAGCCAGACAAAAGTTTTTAATTTTGGTGGGACGGGCAATTTCCAAATCCAATTATAAGGGATTACAGTCCCTAGTATAGTAAGATCTTGATGTAACAATGAGGAATACATCATTTTTACTGTAAATTTCCCATTGTTCGATAAAGCCCAGTATATAGTGTCATATTTTTGTGCATAAATAGGTACACTGATTGTATTTATAATTTTTTGGATATTATCAGGAAATTGGAAAGGGATATCACCCCAGTTCCAGTCATTATGGTGCGTGTATGAATTGATAGGATTGTGAATATGGTTAAGCGGAATGGGGTCATGTATTAGAGAGCGAAGGGATGTATTAGGTGTAAGCCAAGTAGTATTCCAGAAGTTGAGATTTGAGTTGGACCCCAGTTGCCATTGGATACCAAGCTGGCATAAATGCCATCCCAGTACGATGTTTTGCCATGTGGCTGAAGAATTGCCCCATGTGCTTGTGTATTTGTATTTATGGATGAGGTTGTTGGCCCATTGTTGATTTGTTGAGTGGAATAGGCGTCGGGCTAGTCCTGCTAGTAGGGCATTATTTTTTAGATGAAGTCTCTGAATACCAAGTCCTCCCAACATCTTTGGAGTGGTAACCTTCTTCCAACTGAGTAGGTGGAGTTTTCTTTTTTGTTTGGTAGTACACCAAAGGAAGTTATGCATGTATTGCTCCATTTTGTTGGTGATGTTTTTGGAAATTAAGATGTATTGCATGATGTGGTTAGGTAAGGTAGATATGGTTGATTTAATTAGAGTTATTCTACCTTGGAGGGATAGAAACCTAGTTTTCCATCCTGCAAGTTTAGCTTTGAAATTATTCAGGAGGAATTGAAAGTCTGACTTAGTGGGCCGCGTATGAAACATGGGAAAGACCAAATATTTTTCAAAGTGGTTACCTTCCCTCGTATTAAAACAATTCAGAACAGTGTTTTTCGCTTGAGTGGTGCAATTCCTTGAGGAGAAATTTTTTGATTTTTGGAAGTTTATAGTTTGTCCTGATAGATTGGTAAAGTTATTAAGGGAGTCAATTATAGTGTTGTAGCTTGTAGGAGTTACTTTCGACAATAGAATGATGTCATCAGTAAAAAAAATGTGATATTTGTATTTGTATTGGTTTCCATAGTAGGTAATCTACTGAGTTGAAGATATTCCCGGATAATCGTTCCAGGCACATAATGAAGATGTATGGGGATAGTGGGTCCCCTTGTCTTATGCCCCTAGAGGGTTTAAAAACTGAGTGCGCAATCCGCTGATTAATATAGATATCGATGAGGTCATAATGCACGACACTATAAGGGATATGAGTTTATTTGGAAAATTGAAATAATGGAGTGTGTCCTTTATGAAGGACCATTCAAGCTTGTCAAAAGCCTTTTCAAGATCTAGTTTTAGAAGCATATGTCCTATTTTACCTGTTTTCTTTCTTTTCAGGTGTGTGAGGACTTCTTGCACTATTATGGCATTGTCAGATGCTCGTTTCCCTTGTTGGAAACTGGACTGCGTGGGTCCTATTTTTTTTGTGAGATATGGCTTTATACGATTTACAATAATTTTGGAAATTAATTTGTACACCGTATTACAAAGACTAATAGGGCGGTACTGATTGATGGATGAAGGAATTTTGGCTTTAGGGATTAGGCACAAGTATGTCATGTTAACTTCCTAGGGAATTGGGCCGTATTTGAAAGTGTTATGACAACAGGTTGTGACGGAGTGATTGACATCGTTCCAAAATTTTTGGAAGAAATACGGGTGTAAGCCATCTGGACCCGGAGCCTTGTAAGGTTGAAAGGAGAATAGGGCTTGCTTTATTTCAACCAAAGTTAGAGGTTGCGCCAAATGATTTTTGCC